GAAATAGCTGCCCACGATATGGCGGATTACGAGAACTATATTTTCTGTACATTTTCGATGTATTACATTTTTCACTATGATAGTGACAAGAAAAGTTTTATTTTTTCATTACAAACCTTGAACATTGATATATGTCATGTCAGAAGGTCGTAGCCTCAGTCTCGCTATCTATGACTAAGAGAAGAGACTTGAATCTACGAGAAGAGACTTGAATGGGATCTTGACATGATGTCACCATACAGTACTATGCGAGTTGCAAACCCCAAGTAATGTACCTCTGCTAGAACCCATTTACTGGAACCAAAACGCCGTGTAACAAAGTGAAGCCACCAATGGTGCAGCTTCGCTCACATCTCCCATTCACTCGTTAAATTGTACAACTTAATTTTACCTTTCTATATTGTGTTTACCGGTATCTCACTATAATCACTGTACAGAGTTTTACAAACCGTTTAACATTCGATCGCTCAAGTATGGACCCGGGGCATGGGCATTCAATGCTCAAACAGCCGAGTCAAAGCTAAACCGGGATAGGCATCATCCGCGGCATCATTCCACACACGAACAGATGCAACGATGGTGACTGTGGTACGATTGATGAAGCAAAAGCCTAGAACAAATACGAAGTATTTTATAACATCCTACTTACACAATAGTGCATGTTTCTCTTACCTTGTTCTAGCGTAAAATCAGTAGACCTGTCAACAGATATAAACCGGAATTGATACAGCACCGGAAGAACATGAACCTTACACGTGTTTGTTTGTTGGCAACGTAATCTCTTCGTCACTCCTACCTATTCCTCGCGCCTGCGTGGAAATACCAGGGACGATGCCCGGGAATGATGCCTGGCTCATCTTCGCAATGATAATCGTGTCTTTGATTAAATATATCGTTTGAAAAGCATATTCTTTTACCCGGGAATGTACCATTTTGTTCTCTTTCATGTAAGCATATTTGTCCTCACTGCAGTCTCTGATCTTGTTTTAAATCTTGTATTTTTCTCATTCTCAACTGATATATTGCCCTTCATTAGTCGACGTACTTGTATATTGCCATCCGCTACGTGACGTACTTGTATATTGCCCTTCGCTACGTGACGTACTTGTATATTGTCCTTCATTACATGACGTACTTGGATATTGCCCCCCACTACGTGGCGTACTTGTATATTGCCCTCCGCTACGTGACGTACTTGTATATTGCCCCCGATACGTGACGTACTTGTATATTGCCCTCCGATACGTGACGTACTTGTATATTGCCCTCCGATACATGACGTATACGTACTTGTATAGTTTCCACCGCTACCGTGACGTACTTAAGAATGGTCCCACTAATAGTACGTGATATATATCGTTCCCCACTACGTGACTTACTTGTAAATCGGGCTTATATTTTAGTCGCGGAAAAGGCCTATACAATACAAATGGGGTTTGGGCAGTATAATAAACAGGAACGGCAGCTTTACGCGAGAGACAGAGACTGGAAATCGAGTCGACGTCCATAAACGTCTGCTATTTGTGACACGTGACCATCATACTGCTCCTCATATATTATTATTATTATTATTTTAATTACTCACATTTTGGTGAATTTTGTCAATTTTGTCAATTTTTTTATGCGGAGATGGAGAAGCATCCTGGAACAGGTCAATAATAAAAACTTAAAAAAGAAAGACGAAATGACCGATAACGTCTGACTTCAAATCGGACTATTTAAGATCTCAGTCAACGATTAAACTCCCATAGATACAAACTTGAAAATCAAGGTTATTTTTACACATAAAACCAATGAGTACTCGACAAATGTTAACAATATCGCTGAAATCTCATTCTGGTATAAAACTGTTTAAATTACAACATGCTGCCCTTCGGAAAAAGTTGTTTCCAAAAAAGATGGCATTATCTTCGTCATGATACATATTCTAATTGTAGTATATCTTGTTTTATATGGTAACGCTTACTCGCGAAGGGCGCCACCCATTGTGACACAATGTATTCCATTGACGACCGATATTGATGAGCAGTCGCTCTAAGACGTCACAGTAGCATTTTTTTTTGGGGGGGGGGTCAGAAAGTGTTGTACGGTACACGGTCTCCAACACAAAAAAGCATATCTCTATCCGTCGCGGTAGACCAGCTGTTATTTAGTGTTCGTTTTAGCAAAGTTTTAGATGTAATGCTGTCTATAAAATGTTTATACATAATCACCTCTATTATATACTAATGTCCTGATTGCCAGAAAAAAAAAAATTTTTAACTGAAATTGTCACACAGTTTTACCGAGGGCGGGCAGATCGAATTGGGGACTTTCGAGTTGTTGGGTTTCCGATGTAACTCTTCACATAACAGCGCCCTCTTGAGAATAGACATTACATAGAGTGCATTGGATAGATGTATTTTATCTAAGTGTAATAACATAAAAAGTAAATAACCAGGAAGTAAGTGAGTCGTTTTTCACGGGATTCAAGCTGATCAAATAGTTTTCAAACTATAATTCATCTTATCAATCACTTTTCATGATAGGGTGACGGTATTTTCAGTAAACGGGCGTAAAGCGGCTTCTGGGTGACCATAGTAGCAGCAGATGGTGGAAATTAGAGAATGATTTGTTGATGGGGAAA